CACTAGAACTACCAGTCAAAATGTTTCGATTTATTTGTTTCGCAGTTATTAATATTTTAGAAGCATTGAATATTCGAAATGATTTTCGAAATAAATAGTTTCACCTGATTACTATGATGAATATCTAAAGAAACTGAAAGTATTCTATTGTTGCAATTTTTATAGAGATTACATATCAATCGTATTAAATGCTAGGTAGTTCTAGTGTTAATAGTTCGATCGTTTCAATGAAATTGTCAAGTGTGCACTATCAATTAGCCGCAGTACAACTAGAAAACGAGTCACAGGAATAGATCGGTAGCAGATAAATCGACTACTGCCTGATAAGACGCTAGTTTATCTCTGTTCTCGCGGCAGAAACTTATCCGCAGTCGTTGAATGCCCATCTTTGCGACTGCACTCCGGTGCACGCGCTATGCACCAGCTCTGCAACAAATTTCTCTTTAGTCCGAATCATTATGTACAAGAAACGAGGCCCAACGGGTTCGTGTACCACCTGCTTCCCTAACAACGCACTGAATCTCTGAATGAGTGCATCGTGTCTCTTTAAATCAATCGAAATAGGTCGCGATACTTAATTCATGCTGCATTCTTTTTAAATCCGCGGAGAGGCATTCGACACACTTTCTTCGAAAGGAACAGTGATAAAAGGTGCAATCGTGAAGATTTTAAGAACGGTTCTCCGTTCAAACAAGAGAATTATTATCAAATTTTATGAGCATCGATATTCATACGAAATATGCACATACATTCTATTTCTGTTGATCGATTGATTGATTTTCCTTCTTATACCTTTACATGTATGTACATTGTTCAATCAGTGTTTAATAATCTTGAAAGATTACAAGCGAATCGAATGGGAATTTGATTAATCGACTACGTAAATCATTCGCGAAGCTGATCTGTTCATTTTTATAAGTAATGATAAGTTTATAACATTCCCTCTAACGTACTGATAACTGAACAGACTCGATGAATTCATCTGTCTCGGTAATTAACCGTAATCTCGAGTTTAACGGAACCTTCGTATTGACAGATACGAGCTAATGATCTGAATATCCCGATAAAACCGGAAACATCGATATACTGCAGTTCACGTTCACTAAATTCCCTCTAATCATTTCACGGAGTTTTGCACCATTGCGTAATAAGGTCGGTTTCTCTTTCTCTCTTTTTGTCTATTCGTCTCTCCAACTCTTTCTCAAAGTTCCCTCAAAAGAATACTACAACGAATCACCATAAATCGAAGACGTTTAGCAGTGAGCAATACGTAAAACCATAAAACCTGAACGTTTCGAATCGCGTAAAGTTTACCGAACGAATCCACTGACCGCAGTTACGAGTCAATCAGTTTCAACAATAAATTACCTTCGTCATTCATTTTTCCTTACGCGATGTTACGCAATGCTGCACTGTAACATTGGATCTTCCCCGTCATTTCTGCTCGGGAGTTGCATACCATTATGCAATTTATGCACCAGTTTAAACCGTTCCATGTTGGAATTCGTACTACGCTATTATATCACGTATGCAAGATCTTCGAATCGATTTCTCATTCATAGTTCATTTCATTAACTAAACAACTTAACTAAAAATTCAGACAATTCGATAAAAATCAATATTATTCATTACACGTAGCTCGAAATGAAAGTCTATTCTATCATCAATGTTCCACTTTCAAACTAAAAATTTACACTGAACAAAAAATGAGCATTCCCGATGACTATAGACAGCAAAATGCGCTCGAGTAGTTTCGGCCTGAAAATAACACTGTCAATGGGTGAAATTGATTTGTCGCCAGTATGTCAGTCGGTTTAACGCGTTGAACGCGATTTCACAGAGGAAGATACACAGAATGAAAAAATATGATATTAAATCATTGGATTGAATTGCATCATTACGATTCCACGTTCGTCTAGCTGAACGTCACTGTATTATTTACAATAATTATTTACAATATAGAAATGTTTTCATATTGTCGTTTCACTGAGTGAACTATAGCAATTCGATTTGGTCGTGGGTCACCGGTGACCCCATGGCATTCGATGTGTTAATTACGTCCAAAAAGAATCGTCGGTGTCAGGGATTCGCCGTAAGCGAACGAGCATCGTTGCGCTCTTGCTGTTCGTTTTCTCGACGAGAAAACTTAACGCGCTCTGATAACCGTCCGGGATGCTTCCCGGGAGCGTTTGACGTTTTCCATCGAGCCAGCGAGCGGCGCGCCGCGAAGAAAAGCGAAACACTTTCGTCAGGACCAGTTCTGCTCGCCGAAGAAGTATTTCACTCGCGCGCGGGGTTACCAAAGCGTTTCCGTCGTTTGAAGGTCACTGGATTTACGAGTCCGCCGGACCGCCCGTTTCCAGCCGGCTGTTCGATTCTGCGGTTTCGACCGGATCCGACCGAGTAAAAGTGAAACGTGAACTCGAAAATCCTCGCGGAATATGTGCCACTCGTTCGCCAAAGTGATTAACTCCAAGCGATTAGGAAACGAGTGTTCTAGTAACTCGAATTCCATCGGTGATTGCGTTGACTCCTTTTGAAAGAGGGCTTCTGGGAGACTTAATGTTTATTGGGTACTCGGTTGACCCTATGCACTCGATAGAGTATCGTTTGACATAGCGAAATTATAAAGTTCAATGTTTAACACGTTGAATGCCATTTAACACAAACATTTCTATATTATGAATAATGCCATCCATTGCAGTGACATTCAGTTCGATGAACGTGCAATGATAATAATCCAATTGAGTGAACTGATTTAATATGAAATTTCGTGTTAAGGAGTTAATAATGCAATTGATGCAATTTACATTGATATTGTACTTGTATATCTATAAAGAGGGATATACTGTTAACGATATATAATAATGAAAATTGAAACGTAGAAAAATTGTTTAAATTGCGTACGTGGAGAGGCAACAGTTTCTGTATTGTAATTCGAAAGGATTGAAAAAGTGGAGTGTTATGGCCAGTGAATGGCTCGTCTCATTGTCTGCGTGCGGTTTCGGGGATCGGACGAGATCATTTCGGGAATCGGACGAGTTTCGAAAGTTCCTCGACCCAATGCACCGTGCATCACGGTTCCGATTGGTATGCTCAGATAAAAACACTGTTCCTTCTCTTCTTTCGTCACGAAATTCGGGACAGCGAACTGTAACGAGGTTCCGGGCCGAGTAATTAATTAATTCAGGAAATTCGCTGGTTTATCATGACTGGAGTGCGTAATCATTCATTTGTCTTAATTGCATGTTAAGTTCCCTATTTGATAGCAGAGTGAACCTCTTCTTTTTTACCGATAATTTGTTAAAAGAGAAAGGACTTTTATCTCCTCGCGCGCCTATTGTGCGAACATTGAATATTAATAACAGGTTAATTACACCGCATTTCTAGTGTAGCAAAATACGCGGACCTTCAACTGGCGGACCTGCCGATCCTGACAACACAATGCTCGCAAAAACATATGCAAGATTCAGAACGGAAAAGGAGGACAGCCGTAAACAAGGCGCATAATTGGACGTTGAAAAGCGCAGGATTTCTCACGCAATCATTTCTAGGCGTCACGCTTCATGTTTAAAAATCGAAGACCACGGACCGCGGAACAATATTTGTACGAACCAGAAAAGTCTCGAGGGAAGAAGAAACTTTTAGAAACTTGTTAGAAAGTATTTCAACGTTGCCAGAAACATTATGTCTTATTAGTTAACTTCAATTTTAACTTAACCGTAGAACTGCAGAATCGTGAGAATCTAAAAAATCGTTCGATAATATACAATAATTAATATCACGATGGACGGAAGTATTTTAATTATTTAAGACAACGCAACATGTCGAACAGATTCTAAATTAGCGCGTCACGCTTTCCAAATGACTTTCGATTCGTTCCTCAAAATGCGAAACTGACGAAAAACCGTCGATCGAGATTAACAGGTTCTTTTCGCTTTTCAAACAATTTTCTTCGAGTATAGATACTTCCTCGAAAAGAAGTCAGTTCTTGTCAGTTTTTCTTTTTCGTAGAAAGAACTTTTCTGATATCGATGTACGACAGAACAACGTTTACTTTTATCTTCCATAAATTTTCCGTTCCTAGCGAAAACAACGTTTCTGCTATTCCAATTGGTCGTGGGACTGTCGTCTGACCACTGGAGTGCGTATTCTACTTGCTACGATGTTATCCACCGTGGCGAGTAGAATACATACCTAATTGATCAGACCGCGGTATGGCGACACGCCGCGGAACGCGTGGGCGCAACACCTGTCGATGATTCGCGTTACTGTCAAGCCTTCAGTCGTAGCGATCAATCATCGACGGGATGATCGGCTGCAACATCTGTTGTTTCGTTAACCCTTCGCGTCCCAAAGTGTTTCGAATCTGTATCAATGCCTCCTAATTTAACAATTTAATACAACACTTTCCTAATACGTTTAAAAATCGAGTTCATTAAAATTCTCGCACACGGATAATATGCATATAGCATTGCTAATGAGCAAAAACTGACTGAACGCAAGCTCATCGAAGTCGTCACTCGAAAATCATCGCAAGTAACCTCTAAAATTCATAATACTTTCCAAATTATAAACGAATACGTGCCACTCGCGGTACACGCGAGCCCAACACATCTTCCGATCGTTTCTGGGACAGTTCACTCTCGAATTTCTTTCCCTCTTCGTTGACCTCTTTCACTGACCGAATTTTTTGCTCTCCGCGGCGGTGTACTTCTTTCAAGAATTCACGAAGGATTGCAACCGATCCGAATCAATCGACCTCCTCATTCACAATTCTCCCAGATACATTTCTCAGTGCTAATCTCTATCCACCTAAATTCTAATCAAAACTCGTCTTACAAGTTACATCAATCTTTAATAATCCTCAAAAGAGACTCAGCCATGAATTAAGACTCAAAAATCGTATCAAATTTCTCCGAATTTCCAAGACTGCCTCGAAGTTAATCAACTCAATCGTCGTTCAACCGAACAGTCATCCCGTCCCGCGCGGAGCTTACCTGTTTAGCCGACGAAAACGGTGCCGCGTTCGAAAGTAAACTTCCTGCGACTTCGCTGCACCGGAATCCTCGGCCGGTATCAGCTTCGATGTCGCCGGACCGCCTCCCGCGAGGAAGTTCTCGATTAAAACTCGCTCGGCTCGGCTTTCGATCTCACCGTGCGGCACCTCGATAAGCGACTTCCGTTCCAGAAGACCTCAACGCTCGGTTCCCGCGTTTCCTCGAGCTCGGAACGCTGCGCGACGCACTGTCGGCTCGCGAGCCGGATCTCTGAATTCAGAATCCTCCGATGGACACACTAAATCCTCCGACGTCGCACTTGGCTACCGTTTCCCTGTTGGGATCGGGGGATTCACACTGTCACGGTTCCCGCGGGGGTTTCTCGTGGCTTGCGCGCTGCCGACGGGCACGCGCGTGTCCGGTGGATCGGTGACGGTCGGTGCACGCGTTCTCGCGAAGACACACGTGCACGGAATGCGGGACCAACGGTCGATGCTGCGTGAATAGTCCGCGGCGCAGCGAAACCGCGGTTTAAGTATTGGTTAAGCAAGCCGCCGAGAGGCAGCCGGGGTGGGGGCGTGTGGGCCTTAAGTGATCGCCTGAAAATCCTATGCCACCGGGGAGTCAAGGTCTCCCTTCCTAACACGTTCTAATTCCGCGCCGAGAGAGGGGAACCGGCGTCCTCTCGAGACAGCTACACCCTCCGGCCAAGGTCGTTCGTTTGCCGGGGATTTACCACTTCTCCTGGCGTCGACGGTAGGGGATAGTCGTCTTGCTGTCATCGTTGCTCAGCGGATCGCGCGCCTCCATCGCAGATTTGGCACTGTGGAATCGCATAGGCGCATCGCGTGAGACGAAGGATGTACGTAATAGTCAAAGTGCAACGTTTACAATGTTTTCTAGGAGGAACTATTTTCTAACGCGATTCCGTTATGTTTTATATGATTACGTTCTTAACACTAGAACTAACAGTCGAAATGACTGGTTTCGGTTTTCTTGTTTCGTTATCGTTGATATCTTCGAAGCTTTGAATATTCGAAATGATTTTGAAAATAGTTTCACTGGAGTACTATAATGAATGTCTAAAGAAACCGAAAATAATCTATTGTTACAATTTTATAGGGATTGCATACCAATCGTATTAAACGCTTGGTAGTTCTAGTGTTAAATGGTTCAATCTGTATATAGATTTGCATATTCATCATTAGTCGGTGGATTTTTAGAGATATTGAAGATTTTTAAGACTCGTTCAAGTTTAGACCTACCATCGGTAGATCGATCGTTATCCTAAAATCTACTGTCGTTGAACGTTTTCATTGTGCTCGCAGTCGGTATCGATTGATCGCGAAGATAGGTATTTACTGCTTTTTGTTGGAATGTACGCAATTGCAATAAACGCAATGTTTACGTATCGAATACTTGGAAGATGCAAAAACGAGATCGCGCTATTGGCCGTTTAACATTTCCTTCCTGCGATCGCAAAAACCGCGTGGTTTGCGTTACAGTCCGCGCCTTCCTACACGCTCCGCGTAAACACGCATTCTGAGCGATCTATTTGTCGCACGTGTTGGTCTCGTAATTACACAAGTTTGTTATGATGGACGTTAAGCGACAAACATGTAATTAACGATAAACGTGCGTCAACGATCGTGTATATCTCAACAACGACCTATTGTTCCATGTCTGGACCTGTTTACTCGATCGTTTGTTCCATTAAAGTCCAAAGTTTGCCGATAGAATTTCCAGGAGAGGAATCACTTGTTTTAGTCTAGAAGAAGCGACTAGTTCCGATTTAGGAGTCGATCATGCTCGAAGCCGAGCGACCCGTATTCCTGCTGCATCACTCGTTGAAATCACCGGCGGTAACCGTAAGTCGATCGCTTTACAAATGTCTCTATCGATCCTCCGTTCAAGTAGTGTTCACTAAAAATAAGCAAAGAAACTAGGAAGATACTCAATTTAAATTAGCCACCAGTCACCACTCGATTCGATACAAAAAAACTAAAATATTTCATATTTCAAATCAAACTCCGCATTGTTCCGTGAAGTATTGAAATAAAACTGATATATTTGTTGCTTAATTTACCTGTGAATTATCGTTAAATTAGTTTCAAACGATCCATTGAAAAACTTTCGCAAAGGGTTAATATTTCTAACGAATGTATAAAGTTCAATATTCAATGAATATATGAAATTTCCTATTTAATATTCAACATTTAATAAATTCAATATCGTTATCATCAGAAGTTTTTCACTCTTGATCAACACGAAAACCTACTCTACCTTTTAACCCGCGAAACGCTGGGTAATTAGATAGTAACGGACTGTCGTTCATTGCTACTGGATCATTGCAAAATTAATCGAGGCGCTGATAAGGCGTACACACACGTATGTCTCGTACTGCGTAATAGGTCACGACTTTCTCTCTGCGCGAGTGCAGTGTATTAAGGTCATTTTGTTTCCGACCGATTCGACGCGTCTACGCATCCGTCGAGGATGTCCGACGAAAACCGAACGCGTATCGCAAACTTCCGCTGTTTCGTGTAAACGGACTAGCCTGCGGATTTCTCGCATTCCATTAGCGCCGAGGAACGTGTTCCGAAGTGTTACGGTGCTCGCCCGTGGGCTGCCGATTAATTGCTCCCGACAACAATAATACCATTCGGATATCGATACTTTCACCGCCGCGGATGCCGCGCGAAACTGTCCCAATTATTTCCAATTACGTTCGGTCTAGACGAGATCCATCGAACTCGCGGCGCTGTTCGCCGCGCTCCATCGGAGGCATGCGATCGGAGGCATGCGATCGAAGACAAATTGGAGGGAAATGTCGCTGTCAATGGCAACGGTCCCAGTGAGTAATGAGTACAGTGCTTGTCGCGTTCAATTTCAATTGCCTTCGCGATGAATGAATTAAATAGAGTACTCAAGTGCAATCGATTTCGTCGAGGATTCTCGTACATTTGAAATCCATAAGTATTCTAGTTAGTGAATTTAATGAATGACTGTAGCATTTACTGCATTCAATTCCAGTGGACTAATGAGCGGATTGAAGGAAGTATTCGAATTCCATTGATTTCTCTGATTTTATGTTTTATGGAATAAATCGTTCCTTCGTTCTAGATCGGAAAGACCTTTTTAGCTGCTGACTATGTTGTACAATCGTTTCAGAAGTTGAAATATCAGTTTTCTCAGTTTTTCTTTTCTGGGCTCGATCGCATTGGCTTCCGAACTTATTTGATCAGAGAAACGACCAAACGTGCAAATACACGAAGTCAACGCGAACCCTGAAGGCCGAATACTCTTGAGTCGTTATATCATCTTTCTGTAACGGTTGTCATTGGTCGACACGGCGTATAATTAGATTGTGTAACTTGATCTCGAGTGACCGCTAGGCGAATGAAGAGCTAGGGTTGCAACATAACCTCAACCGTGCGAGGCACAAGTGAATTTCTTGTGTAAATACGCTCACGAGGCGCGTTTCGGACGTCGCGTGTAACACAATGGAATAGTAAAAGACTTCTTTGTGCCCGCCTGTTCGGCAAACTCGCGAGCGTAATGATAATTTATCAAAAAAGTCGTACCGCCACGCTCGTTACGAAATGCGACATAATGGCGTCTGGTAGTCGGGCGTAAATGTCTAGGACAGGCGTTTATGATTAACCTTAGGATCTTTTTGAAAACTGACCTTCACGCTTGTTTTGTCAATATTCTGTTAATATCACACCTGGCTTTTCGAATTTTTATAGAAAAAGTACCCTAATGTTCTCAGGTGTTTCTCTAACTTCGAAAGCGCGACATAGTCGCAACTAATGTGATCAACATAATATCGATCCGATGTGATTAATTTTACAATTGTGATAAGTAGATTTATTCTGCAACGAGACGAAGAGGAAAATCACTTTTGTTTACTAATTCTCGGGGATTTCCATAATTGACGCTTAAGAAGGCAATTAGCAACTATTAAATTGTATCATCATTTATCGTTCGTGCATTCTATAAGGCGTTGAAAATAAAAGTAAGCTAATAAAATTGTCAGCAATGATGATACAAGAATCATTTCTGTAGAAAAAATGTGTTGAAATGACATTGCATACTTTTTTTCATTGGAATTAAATCGAATGAAATTAAACGAAGGATTTAAAGTAGATAAGGAAAGAAACTATATTTTAGTTTATAGTCATCCGGCACACCTGTTGCAACGTGATTTATTTGGTAACTGGATTAAAAAATATTGCCAGTAAAGAGTAATCGCTTCCGTCACCGGAATCGATTAACCTATCACACGTGAGGCCTACCGGGTATACCTTGAACGTTGCACCATTCCCTACAAACTTCGGCGGCCATTCACTTTTGGGCCTGATCCACGGTCGTCCATTCCCGATGGATCGACGAAGAAACGGTCGATTTACCTGCTTGCGTCCAATTTAAATCTCTCGGATCATTTAAATTCCTATGATTTCGCTACATCGAATTTAACATGATGAATTGATTCCATTTAAACTACTGTTAATGATTACTTCCATTATTACGATTACTATTGATGAATAAATTAAAAAATTCTCTGGTTCGTTCTGTGTTGCCACATAGTAAGTTCACAGATAATACGAAATGTCGGGATAATTAAAAGAAATACATAGAATATGGAAATAAATAATATAATTTATTCATGCTTTTACAATAAACTTTATAATAAATGTCTCCGTTACATCGGGCGAGAGATAACAAGAAATAAATCATGAAAACATTGCAAAGCACTGTTGAAACGAGAGTATCGCGTTCCTGTCAAACTCAACCTCGACGTTTACGTTGGGAGAGGATTTTTGATCATTTCTTTGACACTTCGACGTCGTCCTGATACGGTTCTTAGAAGTCACATGAGAAGACACTATCCACGCGTGACTGATCATTGTCAGGTTTGCGTCGCGACACGTCCGCTTTTGCCCTCGTGCTTGGCATTTCGTAAGTTGACGCTGGAATTTTTTCGTTCCTTCCTGTTTGCACGTCTCGTTGCATCCTTTTTTTGTGTGATATGTATATAGGCTATGTACTTATTTGCTGTTTTTCATATTTGGGTTAGAGGGAGAAGAAAAACGTTAATTGTTTCGTTTAATTTCTAAGAAAATCTATTTAACAAACTCTGTCAGTGACTTCTACGTAAAAATTTGCCGTTTTCATCAATTTTTCCATTCACAAAAATTGGCGTATATTTTAGTATCATTGTGGAGGAAGAAAGAGAAAAATGAAGCAGAAGAACATAATGAAAAATGATTTTGTTATACATTACACGTGTTGATAATCGGCACGTTCACCTGAGTCACCTTGTACAGAATAATAATCAGTTTCTTCTCCTCTATTTTCCTCTTCGACTAGTTACACATTTACATGGAAAGTGTTAAAAACTATTACAATGTACGAATACTTGTCATCGTGTCTGTGACTTTTAAAGGTCATTCGGCGTTGCATAAACACAAACGCGAATTTTTTCATAAACAAACATTTGAATATCAACTACTTGTTCAGTGATACATCTGCTGACATCGAATTAATTTCGCTCTAG